GGGGAGGCATCGGCGGCGGGGGCAGCCCCATGAGGGGCAGGGCAGCGGGGGGGCGGTTGAAAAAAGGCAGGACAGAGGGGGGTTTCTCCACACGGGCAGGCGGCAAGGCATTCTCTGTCGGCGTGGCACGGCCGTCCACTGAGTCCACGGAGTCTCGGGAGTGGGCCCTCGGCGGCACACCTGCAAGCGGCACAGGAAAGAGCCATGAGCCGTGGCCGGAGGGCCTGAGGGTCTCGGAGACCTCCTCCTCCTCTTCCTCCCCACCCGTGGCAACCGGCACGAGGACCATGCTCTCCCGCAGCCCCATGAGGTGCAGCCTTGAGAGAGCTCAAGGTGCCCAGAGAAAGATCCAGCCAGCCAAACGTAGCCTCCGCTTCCACGTGCCTTGAAGGGGGTACCAGCTCTCCAGCAAGACCCCAGCTGCCCACACGGTGCCCCAGGGACGCTCACTCTCAGCCAGTGAGGCTCTGCGGAAGCTGCCGAGCAAGCGGGTTACAGGGACAGAAGCGAAAAGCCCCAAGAAATGGCGCGAGGTCCCCAGCAGAGAGGTCGCTGGGTCCCGAGTCCCCGAAGACATTAAACGACCCAGAGAGCCTGCGATCGCACACGGGTTCAGAAAGGCCTGAGCGTGGAGGAACACGAGGAGACAGAACCCAAGTGCCGACAGCAATGGAGCTGCTGGAGGAAGGAAAACTCGGCGCCCGTCTGCCCTCGAAGAGAGGGACAGGAACCCTTGCTGTGTCCAAAGAGGCTTTGAGGATGAGACAGGAGAGGTACGATGGAGGGCACTGCCTCTGCCCGAGCCCCTCGGGGGAGCCACAGCTCCCCACCGGGCCTTGCCGCTCTGATGGCCGTCAAGCGGAGCACCGTCTAGGCGCCGGCGTTCCTGAGCCGGTGGCAAGGATTCACGTGAGCTCAGCCGTGTCAACAGCAAGGCCCCTGGGGGCAGGCCGAAACTCAGCCTCCCCGTGCCCGGCGGGAGAAGGGAACACACCCTGCTCTGCTGAAATGCAAGGGCAGGTCGGGACGCGGTCTAACAGCGTATGGTGCTGCCAAGCAGCAGATCACCGTGGGCACTGGAGCTGAAGGGAGGGTGCAAAGGTCACAGCTACCCCACTGTAACTTGGCCAGGGCGCTTAGGAAGAAAGGCTTTCCTTGCATGAAATGGGCCACGGGATCTACAATGACCACAGCTGGCCAAGACCTCCTCGTACATGCTCCTGCCAACAGTCCCTGTGGCTCCGCAGAGCCCCCCAGCACGGGGCTGGGGCGTCACATCGCTGCGGAGTGAGGCAAGGACCACCTATTGCCATTGTAGAAAGCCCACGGCCAGGCCCCAGCTGGAATACTGCGTCCAGTGTTGGGCACCTTACCTCCGCAGGGATGGACAAATTCTGGAGGAGATCCAGAGAAGAGCTACTAATAGATATGGAGGGTCTTAGCTATGTTGATAGGCTGAAGAGCTTAAGCCCATTCAGTTTGGAGAGGAGGAGGAGGAGCCTACGAGGGATCTTCGCAGTGTGTGAGCACCTAAAAGGGGATCATAAAGACTCGGGTCAGGATCTAATCAGACTCAGCAGCAACAGGAAACAACCCCCAGAGACTCCTGGCAGTGTCCCCCCACCCCGAGGTCTTGGTGGGTTCAGCCTGACAGCTCTGCTGGGGATCTGCGGGGCCCGCGGGAGCTGCTGCACAGCGTGGAAGCCCCCCCCAACCTGTGGTGTGCCTTTGCCTCACTCACGTTTGCGAGCCTGCGCCTCGAACTGTGACAGGTTCTGCCGGGTTGCCAGCCTCACCTCCACCTTGTCCCCGTTGAGGATTTTGCCAGGCAGGAGCTCCAGGAGTTTGTGGACTGAGTTCTCAGAGGCAACCACCACCTCTGCGTACCTGTGGGAAAGCCTGGTGGTCAGTCAGCAAAAGCCAGCCCCAAGCGGTTCACCCCCTGGTGGGGGGTAGGGACCCCCTGCCAAACCCCACGGGGCTCTATCCGTCCTTGCTGGCAGAGACCACCCAGCACCACCCCCTCCCGCTGCCTTCCCTGGCAGCTGAAACCAGCCTGGAGTTACATGACCCCCCCCATCCCTTTCCCACACTATTTCGGAGTCTCTGCTTTACCATCCCAGCTCCAGGTGGGCTGTGCATCACCTGTGCCAGCCAGGAAAACCACCGGCTGCCTCCTCACTCTCCCCAACGCAGAGGACGTGGCCGTGAAGGCCTGACTCCCCCATTCCCCCACATGCCCCTCGGCTCTCACCCTTTCGACTGGCCATTGGCTCGGTTCTCTGCGAATTTCAGCTCCACTACGTCGTAGACACCAACCGAGCGGATGGTCTGGATCAGCTGCTGGTCAGTCGTCCACTGAGGGGAAGAGAGGCCAGTGTCAGCTCACATAGCCCTTTGCAGGACCACGCTGCCCCCCCCCAGCTAACCCAGGTTCAGCGCTCAGGGGGCTGGGGCAGGGCACTTGAGTTCAGACACCCTCAGAGCCCCTACAGGGAGTTTAAAATCAATCTCGAGTCTGAAACAGGTCCTGGGCATGGCTACCAGAGGTGTCTCTGTTCTCTACACAAGACAGAGCCTTCCCAGGACTCTCCCTGTATCTGTCAAAAGCAGAAGGTGACTTGCCCACGCAGCCCCCAAGAAGGCAGAGCCAGGTGGGGCAGCAGCCGGTGCAAGGGAAACACTGCAGCCGCTGGTCACTCGCCCCAGGCTCGACCTGAAGCCCCTTAGGGCTACGAATCCCTTTTCCCCAAGATCACAATGTCAAGCCCAGCTCACGACCCGGCCTGGGACACTGGGTCAGCGTGAATCGCGGAGGAACAGCACCCCCAAAGAGCCCTGCAGCCCCTCAGGGGTTTCTCTGGAGGACCTCCATCTGTGTATGTAGCACAGGAGACCCAAACTGCCCATGCAGGTGGTCTGGACACCCCCTCCACAAGGAAGCACAGCCAGGCAGCGATTCCACTCACCCAGGAGAAGCTGCCCACATAGACGGCAGCTCTCTTGTTGCGCAACCCGCTGTACGTGTACAGGATGGCAGGAGATTTGCTGTTGGGCTTGGGGGACGGCTCCTGGCGGATCTCCGGGGGTGCCTCTGAGCTGCTGGTGCGGCTTTCGGGGGGCTGTGAGCTGGCTGCTAGCACATCATCGTACAGGTCCATCTGATCAGCATTACTGAACTCAGAGTCCTGCAAGGGGAGACACCGTGAGCACCTCTGCAGAGGGGAGACCCCAGGTGTGAAACCACAGCTCAGAAAGGAACCTGTGGGCTGTTAAGAGCCTGAATGGGGCTCTGGAGGACCGCTCCATTCTGCTGGAGTCCTCCAACATCCCCCCAGCAATGACCGTCCAGCAGAAGCCAAACACCAACCACTACAGGAGATGCTTAAAGTCATCTCATGGTGCTGCTCTGCCGCAGGTGCCCCGATGTGCAGGGGACTGCAGATGAATGACACTGGAGGTTAGGAAGCCCCCTTCACAGTTTGCAAACCAGTTGTCCCAATTCATCAAGTGCTGACGTGCACGAGCTCTTGTGAGGCAGCACAAGCTGAGTCCAAAGGTTTAGCGCCCAAACCACTTGTCTTGGGTCTGTTCGCAGTTAGAAGGTGGTGAATCACTGCCATGAATGAAGCCACAGCAAACAGATCCGGCGCCTGTTATCTCTCACAAGCCAGCTCCTCTTGCCCAGAGCCCTGTCCCCTCCCCTTGGTGGCATGCCACCATGGTGCGTCCCTCTTTCAGCACTTCAATTTTGCAATGACAACTCCTCACACTTTCCCCTGGCCCAGCAGACCCCTCCTAGCACCACACTACTCTTCCCCACTACCCCACTGCCCTACAAAAACATGCTGTGCCCTAGGCTTATGACCACCCCTCACTTGAGCAATCCACCACAGCATCTGCTCTTCTTTCTGGGCAATGTGGAAATCCCTCGTGCACGTCTCCAGTCCAGCTGCCCAGCTCTCCGACCGGCCAAGCATTAACGCAAGCCCCACAGCAACAGGATCAACATCTTTCCCCAGCAATGAGGATTACCAGTGCCCCGAAGACAGGGCGATGGGCTCTGTTTTGCAATGCTTGACATAACCCTGGAGCATTTTTTTTACACATAAGGACGTGGGAGAAGGGAGGAATACTCCAGGAAGCAGAACCACAAGGCTTTACCCTGCTGGCTAACTGCACTGGCTTGATTTTCCTCCCCCAAACTTCAACAACAAGCCTTTTGCTTTTCTGTCTGCTCCTCCGCTGAGCTCCAGCACACACCTCACGTGAGCAGAGGACCAGCTTTCTAGGGTGTCAGCTGTCTTGAGCAATGGGGCAAGACGCAACTTGCTGCTCTGGGAGGCTACCAGGAAGAAGCTCACCTTCTGTAAGCGTGTGAGGGCAAGAGTTCAGTGGTGGAAAACCAAACACCCTCAACGGACAAGCCTCTCGCTCTTTGGCAGGCACACACTTCACAACAAGTCCAGCCTGGGGGTTTCACTTTCCCTCAAACCCTGCTCGCCTTGGATACGCCGCCACAAGCTCACTGGTTTTGGGCCAGCAGAGCCCTCTTCAGGGTAGGAGCTACACACGCCGTCTGCACGCACAGATGCACGCACACCATTTCCCCTCCTCTCAGCAGCGCAGCCTTTTACGGCACGAACCAGCCACCAAGGAATCTTCTGAGCTGTGAACTCAAGTGTCCTAGATCTGCCTTCCAATTCCCACTCTGTTCCGGGCTATATTTAATTTGGAGTGTACAGCGAGTGCTGTGTTTACTACGGATCTTCAGACTAATTGCTCACCCGGATTCAGCGTGCACTGAGCATCATTTCTGCTACAAATTACCACATTGGTATCTGTCCCACGGGAGCAATGCACAGGTCCTGTGCAGCACAAAAACAGAGGCTCTGCTCCTAAATTTTTAATTCCAGGACTTCAAAGGCAGTTCGGACAACATCTTCTGCTAAAGATAGCGCGAGGTGGTTAAATCCCCAACACTGTGACGGTCAGGAAACCGCACACATAAAACACGTCCCTTTGTGAGCTCAGGGGAGAGACGGGGAAGGGTGCTCAGCACACAGCTTTCAAAGGGTCACGGAAGTATCAAAATCAAACCACTTTCCTCCAGACATGTTGACAGCAACATCCATTTCTAAAGCAAGCCGTAACTTTTGCATCTGCCTATTTCAGCTGCAGAGCTGATCAAAAGGTTGTAAGAATTTCAACAGGGAGCAGTATTTTTACACTCATTCTCAAAACAGCTCAACTGTTTGTTTAATCCGCCTCCCACACTCCTACCCTGATGAAGCGCCTTTGGACACAGCCCAAGGCTGGAAGATTTCTGCCTGAAAGTTTCATAAAGTCAAGAACAAAACAAGGAGGGCTAGAGGAGAAATTGCATGAAAGCCCTCAGATACACTACTTAGGGGATGCTTCAGCTTGGGAGTTTTTAGAGATCCTCTGGGTCCATTCCGTTTTTGACACTCTCCTTTAAAAACCAACAGCCCAATAAGAAGATGGTGTAGAAGTACTCACAGCCCAAGCGCTCAGAGTCCACTCTGCTGCTCTCTGCCCTCGCCACTGCACTGAATTTGCAGACCATTGCTCGAAACGCACGGTAGCGAGAGGCTTCTTGCATCACCCACCGCCCCGGCACCTAACACCTTCACTGCCATTCAAACCCCGACACAGCAAATGCGCTCTGAACCCATGCGTGACGCCTTGCAAGGTGCACGGGGATGAAGCCAGGCACCGTCGGCGGTAACTACCATGTGTGCTGTGGGATTTGGAACCACGCTGGCGTCCCTGGTGTGCCACAGGGACCACAGGGCAGCCAGTGCACCTTCCTACCGCCCTTTGATCCCACATGCGCCATTGTGCACAGATTAACTCTCAGTTTCTTCCTGCTGCCGCACAGCCTGAGGCGACCGAGATGCTGGAGTTGGCGGCCTTGATAATCACTTCCAGCTTTAAGAAGCCTCCATCTACTTGGCCATGTCAAAGATCTTTTGTGTACTGTCCCCCAAACCCTCCAGTTAAATCTTTCCAGGCTGCTTCCTGCTGTGCAGCCAGGCTTGCTCCGTCCTCCTCTCAACACTGCTTAACTTCTTTACTCCCAAAGATCCCCGAGACTTGACCGAGACCAGACCAGACCCATCAGAGACCCTTTCACCTCCCCAGCAGACATACCCACGTCAACTCAAACCACTGCTTTTGTTCCCCTTCCTCTCTAGGCTTCCCAGGAGCTGAGCCTTTGCGGGAAAGCCTACCTGCAGGCACAGGTGGGACAGGCAGCGCTGGCCCATCTCCGCAGATCGCCCGTGAAGCGGCAGCAGAGTTCTCCTGTTAAGTCCTCCCACTTGTTTGTTGTTCATTAGTTGTCCTCCGAGATGTTGCAGACTTTCCAACTCACACCCACCAACATCACAGTTCTTCTCCAGACAGTAGCTACCATGTCCACCTTCACTGCTTCCCTTTGGCGTTCAGAGTAATTGCCAGAAATGAAATTTCCTGGCTATTCTGTGCGCTTCTAAACTCCAGCCCAGCGACCTCCACACATTTTCTTAATCTGCACCTTCCACCCTTATTCCCACAGCTATCCAGCTCTCCCTTCCGCTCCCAAGGCCAGGAACACCTATTTCCCGATTCTGTTAAAAGCAAATTGTGTGAAAACACACAAATTGAGGCAGTTCCTAAGCCAGAGCAGTTCTGTTTGGTCCCAGCACAGTGCTAGATTGTTTAATACATGGGGAATCGGGTTTATTCTGGGATTTTTTCAGGAAGGACGCAGGAAGCGGTATTTCAGAGTCAGAGGGTGTCCGGGCAGGGCTGCCCAGCTGTTACAAGCAGAACAGACGTTTGCTTTGCAACTCACCTTTTCTAGTGAGGTTACTGTTATTTTGGCAGTGTTACAGCCAGCTTGGACCCTGCCCTTCTCCAAGGCAACTGCTCTCAGCGGAGAACTCCTGCTTTTTCCCAAGTGGTTGGAAAGCACCTCGCAGTCCTCTCGGTTCCGAGGCAGTTAACACTGTTTCCACCATTTCGCTTTTCCCTGAAGGTCTAACCCATGGCATATTCTCACCTGATAACCTCCCACCTCCACAGAACAAAGGGTTTATCACCCTCAGCTCCTCTTCAGCCCTCTGGGAGCTTAAGGCAATTCCCTCCTCCACATGTTTTGTTTCCAGTTCGTGCAGCTTGCCCTCTAGCGCAGACCAACTTTCCTCCATGGGCTTTCCATGGTTGTTTTTAATCTTCAAACATCTGCGTTCACACCCGCTCTCCTAGATCCCTCTCTAAAGTCTGCTTCTCTAACAGCTAAGCACCCTCCCATTCTCTGTCATTTCTTCCTGTGAGTCCCAAACAGCCTCCGGGTGGGTGAGGTGGCCCATGGGCAGCTCTCCGACCGCAGCGAGTCCCCGCCACAGCTTCCCAGCCTTGGTGGTCCCGCGGGTTCAATGCTCTGGGTTCCCTCACCCTGCGGTTCCCTGGCAGTGCCTCTTCTAGTTTGGATTTCTCATTTCTCCAATTGGGCTGCAACTATCCCCTTCGATCCCTGCTCATCACTATCCTAGCAAATGTTCTGGCCCAAACCCTGCCTCCCCGCTCCTAAACATTTTGTGACCATCCACATGTTGAACCCGCAGAAAGACCCTTTATTATTCCCAGCTCAAGATGGCAGCCACCAGGATTTAGGAACAGTCCCAGCCCTCGGTTCCCCACAGGGACTCTCCAGTGCTGTACCACCTTTTCCCGGGCACACAGGTCACATCTTCCGCCTCCATTCAATGTGTACATACCAGCCGGTAGGTAAGTCCACGCTAACCGCTCCAACCCCTCGCTAACGAGTTGGCCGACGCCAATTACAGTTCTCTCCCCCAGAAAAGGGGGCTCTGTAGCCCCAGCCCCATGGCCGGATGCCGTGCTCACCTGGTTGAACTCCTCGTCGGCGTAGATGTCGATCAGATCCACTCCTTCGGACATATTTCCAGAGACGGGAGAAGGAGCCCAGGCTGGGACCGGGACGAAGCAGGAAGACCAAAGGTGCACTGCAGCATGGCGAGGGGGGAGAAAGAGGGTCAGCGAGGCACCAGAGACCCACTGTTCACATCCCCCTGAGTCCCCTCTGCCCCCCCCGTCCCTACAGGCACCCAGCCACTCCTCCAGAGTGACTCACAGCCTCAGCCCAGACCCACACAGGGGCCGCAGCAGCCCCTCACCCTCTGCCTAGGACCCCCCCCCCACCTCGCTGAGGGCCACCCCCGCGGGCAACGTAGCCCCATTTCCCCTAAACCTACCCAACCCTTGCGGGCAACAACCCCCCCTCAGGGGGCAACCATAACCCAGCCCCCCTCCCCTCCCCTTCCCATCCCACCCCGGGG